GGGGAGGGATTGGGTTGGCGCGGCAACAAGGGTCAGTTGCGGCTCACATCCAGGAGGATGGACGCGGCAGGCCACATGCCGGAAACAATCAGAGCAACGGGCTTCAGCCTGGCAATTCTAGCATGTGTCTGACGCACTCCGTGCACCCTGTCTCACATGCACTTTTTGAACACAACACGAGGACGACACAACCCTCCAGACAAACTACACACACACGCACAAGTGGTTGCTGTTCACACCGCCGCTGCTACTGCCTGGGCCACACCTCCTTCTCGCAGTAGCCCTGCGCGTCGTCGGTCTGCACGCTGCGTAGGTGGCGCAGGTCGCTCTTGTTGCCGACCAGCATGATCACGATGTTGCTGTCCGCGTGGTCCCGCAGCTCCTTCAGCCACCGCTCCACATTCTCAAATGTCGCTGCATGGGGGCGGGGTCCGAGGGCGGCGCGGGGCCATGCTGTTGGCCGGCCGCGACAAGGTGTCCCTAAACAGCATGCAAGGCTGTTTTGGGAGGTGCAAGCCACGGCGCCACCAAGAAAGCGACGCTCCAGACCACAGTGCTGTAGCATTGACAGCAACGCAGCGAAGCCTTGCATCGGCACCAGGACCGCCGGTCGTGCCTCGGCTATGACTCTGCGTAGGCTGTTTGTCTCCAACGTGCGCACACGAGCAAACCCGTCTTCCAGCTGCCAGTTAGCCTTGTGACCAACCACCACAGACAGCGCCCCTCACAGGCAGCCGTGATTGACAGACCCTTCATGCCCAGCGCTGCTTGCCCGACGCCCACCCCCCGCCCACCTGACTTGGTGACGTCATACACCAGCAGCGCCCCCACCGCCCCGCGGTAGTAGGCGCTGGTGATGGCGCGGTAGCGCTCCTGGCCCGCGGTGTCCCAGATCTGCGCCTTGATGGTCTTGCCGTCCACCTGGCGGGACGATAGTCAAGGAACACAGCGCCGGAGAGCTCACTGCACCGCTGCACGCGAGGTGCCCAACGCTGCTCCGCAGCTGTGCAGCCCCTGCCACCACCAGATGCCTGCATTGCCCTATCTGTGCACGCATGTGTGGATCCTGTGCATGCGCAGCCTGTAGGCCAAGGCTTGCGCCGGCCCCTGCCAAGGCGAATCTGCACCTGTATGCTGCGCGTTGCAAACTCGACGCCGATGGTGGACTTGCTCTCAAGGCAGAACTCGTTGCGCGTGAAACGGCTGAGCAGGTTGGACTTGCCAACTCCAGAGTCGCCTGGCATGAATGGGACGGGGCGGACATGGGTGCAGCGCGCTCAGCGGGAGTGGGGCCAAGAGAGCGTCCAGCCGCGAGTGGTCCGAGGCAGCAGGGCCCGCCGCACTGCCCATGGCATGTTGCAGCCGCCGTTGCCGCCACCAACGATCACCAGAGCAGCGCACCTATCAACACTACCTTGAAGAGGTAGTCGTAGCTGCGGGATGTGGGCAGCGATCAGTGGCACGGGGTGAGAGCATTCCTGGACTGCAGGGAGTGTGGCTCTGGCAGCCTCTGCACACGACATGTAGCATGGTTGTTGCTTGCTGTGGGGACATCAAGCAGGGCCCTGCTGTTGATGTGTATGCACGCTGTCTCCTGCTGCCGCTGCTGCTGCTGCTGCTGTTGCTGCTGCTGCAGGTGCTGCGGTTCCTTTTGGTGCAGTATTCAGCATCGGTGCGCTGCACTGCTGGAGCGCCATTGTCCGGCCGCTTGCTGTACAGCCGAGCACGTGGCGTGTTGCACGAGCCATGCAACTTCACAACGTACAACCCGCATGCCGAGTGGCCCTGCTGGCTGGTGGCGCAGTGTGTTGGCTGTACTGTAGGTGGTGTAGCGGGTGATCAGAGCAACCCACTCACTCGTCGTCGGGCTTGTGGCTCATATTTGATTGCCGTTGGTGCTCTACCGGTAGTGCACCACACCTGGCGCGACGTGTGTGAAGATGGGACTTTCTTTTGAAGCCGGGTACCTCTATGGTATGCGATGTTAGGATAAACTATAAAGAGGCAAGTACTGTATGCAATTGAAAGCCTTGCCTTCTGCCAACGGTGCGTGCAGGGGGGATCACACGGCGACAGCTGAGCTCCCAATGACACTCGACCTGTGGGCGTCACACTGAAATGCATGCTGCCCATGACCAGCCCCATGCAGAGCTTCAGTCCATAGTCCCTCAGCGTCTTCTCTACAAGGATTTCGAACACGTGCAGGCGATGCTGGCACAAAGCTGGCTCATCATGCGTAGACACCTTCATGGTCCTGCTGCGGAGGCAAGTAACAGGAAGAACAGGGCGGCGGGCGACCATGTGCCCATGCCTTTGGCTCCAGGTTGGTTGCAACACGCAGCCCTAGGCACTACTGCATGATACCCGTCTGTCTAATTGAAGGGGTGAGAGGCGACCTGGTTACTTGACTGCTGGTGTTACCGGGGTGCAGTCAAAGCTCCCATCACCACGGCCGACACCAGGCATGCAGGCCACAACGCGTACAAAGCAGCACAAGTCGCCTAGCAATGGTTCCAACAGTTACCTGTGCCGGCACGCACCTATTGAATGGCGCCTGCTCAAACGGACGCTGCAAGCGTCGCACATGAGAGGTGCCCGAGCTCGTCTGCCACGGCTGCGGCGATTACGGCAGCGCCCGTAGACGCCGCAAGATACGACTTGATGGACAGACACCAGCACATTGTGTGCAAAGCAGCGGATGCACAGGGCAAACCACACGGTTTGCGCATCCATGTGGGCCATGCCGCTTCAGGGTGATCTCTGACCAGGCCCAAACGCGGCTCGATCAAGGCTTGGGGATTCTTGCTCTGCCCTCGCCAGAACTTATTTGCCTGGTGGTTTTCTATCCACCGCATCATCAAAGTTGCTCGGCCAAATTTATAGCTGTCTGATCCGATCTGCATCGCACTTCAAGCGAATCGCAAGTAGCGATCGCTGAGTGTGGTAGGCACCACCCCAGGAGTTGTATGCTCACCCTCAAGGCAAAGGCAGGCGCGATTGGACGTGCACGGCGGGCGGGCGCCCGCTGTGTGTTTTGCAAGCGCAGCGACTGAGCTTGACATGGCAGCTCGTATTGAGCAGGCAGGAGACCTCCGGCGCATGGTGGGCCATTGATGCATGGCAATGGAACACATGTGCAACACCCTCGCATCGCAGGGCTGCTCTGCTGCAGTGCAGCGCTTCGGCGAAGTGCAGCCCCCGTCCGCCACCCCCCGTGGTCGGCCCAGTGCGTCGAATTTAGCAGCGGCACCCGCACAGCGCGGCCCCCTAGGAGCAGCAGCGGCGGCGGCGCCAGCATGAGCGACGCGAAACGGCGGCGCGTCGCGGCCGCGTCCGGCGCGGGCGGCAGCAACGGCGACAGCGACGGCGCGCGCGATGAGCACTCTGTGGGCGGCTCCTTCAAGGTGCCCGGCCTCGTCGCGACGGACCACGTTATCAGGGTGCCCCTGGACTACTCGGGCAGGGTGCCCGGGGAGATCAGCATATTCGTGCGGGAGCTGGTCTCTCCAAGCAACACGCGGCGGTCGCTGCCGGCGATCCTCTACCTGCAGGGTGGGCGCGCAGGAGGGGGGCGGAGGGGCGCGCGCGACGGGGCAGCCGCGCCGTCCGGGCCGCGCATGGGCTCGCATGCACCACGCATGCGAGGCTGGTGCGTTCTGCTGCCGCTGTCCTGAAGCGCATGCTGCAGCGAATCACGAGGCATCTGCCGCAGGCGGTGCGCATGACGAACCAAACGCCACCAACGGGACTGTGACTGAGCAGGGCGCTGCACCCCCCCACCCACCCACGCCCACCCGTGGCCGCGCCGCGCAGGCGGCCCCGGCTTTGAGAGCCCGCGCCCCTGCGAGGCGAGCGGCTGGATAAAGTCGGCCTCCAACAACTTCCGCGTGCTGCTGATGGACCCGCGCGGCACCGGGCTCAGCAGCCAGGTCACCGTCAGGAATCTGGCCAAGGTCGGCGGCCCCAAGGAGCAGGCCCGCTACCTCTCATTCTTCAGGTGGCCTGGCGGGGGGGCGCGGAAGGGGGGGGTGCAACGGGCGCGCGCTCGGCGGACGTACAATGTCGTCGCCATGCGGCCGCGTACAGCACCCTCTGTCCCACGCTGTCCGCGCAAGCCTTCCCCATCCACGGTTTCAGCCGGCGCAGGTCCCTCTGCAGGCAGCTCTTGGTCTCGCCCGTCCTTATTGGTCGCAACCCTTCTTGGTTGTTGCTATTTACAGCACATTGCGCCGCGCGCCGCCACACCTGCAGGGCCGACAGCATCGTGCGTGATGCGGAGCGCGTGCGCCTCGCGCTGGTGCCAAAGTCCAGCAACGACGGCCGCTGGACGATCCTGGGGCAGTCCTTTGGCGGCTTCTGCGCGCTCACGTACCTCTCCATCGCGCCCCACGGTGGGCGGCACCACCCTGCCGGGCCTGCGGTATGCCCTAACACCCCTCCCCCAACACACACACATACGCACACACACACACACACACACACACACACACAACACACACACACAACACACCCTCTCCCCACCCCTGACATTTACAACCACGGCGCCCTGAGCACCTGGGTCCCATGCTTTGCTGACTGGCGCCCGCCTCCAAATGCCTGCTCCCGATGTGGCACTCGCTGCCAGTGTCTTTGAGTGTCACACTCTCGACCGGTTTCCTCTGAACCCAGCTGATCCCCTCTGGTGCGCCCGCCCAGGCCTGACGGACGCCCTGCTGACGGGCGGCGTGCCGCCGGCCATTGCGGAGCCCTGCCCCGCGGAGCGCACCTACAGGGCCCTGTACAAGCGCGTGCTGCTCCAGAACGCGCGGTACTACCACCGGTGAGGGGCGATGGCGGTGCGGCGCTGCGCGGCGGGGCGGGGCGGGGCGCGCAACGGCGCAGCAAGCGCGTTTCTGAGGGAGGGGCGGGCGCAGGGGCCACCTTGCTGCGCGGCGGGCTGTGCGGCGGGGCACCAATCGCACACTTGCAGCTGTGCAGCACGGTTCGAGGGCGTCTGCGCCGTCCTTCTCATATGAACGCGCCCTCCGCCGTTGAAGCCTCGTCACCCTGCGGACACAGACACACACACACACACACACACACACACACACACACACACACACACACACACACACGTCGGCCCCGCAGCTTCCCCGGTGACGTGCCCCTGGTGCACCGCATCGTGCGCTACCTGGCGGCACAGCCCGGCGGCGGCCCCCTGCTGCCCGGCGGCACGCGCCTCACGCCGCGCACGCTGCAGCTGCTGGGCCTCTCGGGCCTCGGCTCCTCGGGTGAGGTGCCCCCGCTGAGGCGGCGCCGCCGCGCCGCGCGGCGTCCAGCCCGCCCTGCCGCGCGTGTTTCCTGCGTGGCGCGGCCGCAGCGGTCATCGGTCGTCTTTTGAGGTAGCGGGCGCAATGCGCGCAGCGCCTACGCGTTGCAGCACGGTCACCCTGGGCAGACGTCATGTATGCCTGCGCCCCCCCCCCTTCACACTAACCCATCTCTCCCCATACCCC